CCCAAAAAAAAATTTAAGTTTGTTTTTAAAAAATATTTTCAATTTCAAAAATTATTTTCTACTCTAGTAAAAATAAAAGATATTTCTCAAAAATATTTTTCATTCATAAATCAAACACTAAAAATCTTTTTCGGAAAATATTTTCTATTCACCAACCAAACATGAGAAAATAAGTCAAAATCAACTTGTTTTCCAGGAAAACATTTTCCATGGAAAACATTTTCCTTCATACCAAACACACCCTTAATCTTGTTCATTCTGTGGTCAGTTTATTATAACTTCAAATCTTATTGTGCAATATTCTGTTTTCAAGTTTAAAGTGGGAGGCCTTTCGAGTTCATAATCTCGATTAGTAATTAGTGATTTATGTAGCTTTTATTGAATCTGTATGGATCAGTTTACAGTTTCCTTTAATTTGCAATTACAATTTCCTCTTGCAGATCAGTTTATTAAATCATGTTGATCTCGAAAGATTTATTGCTGTTATGGTTCAACTTTCTGGCCATTGGTTTACTGGGTGTTTTGGTTTAAATTACAAAGGGAGTATCGTTTTGAATTCAGATGCATACGAGGAACTCTATTGCAAGTGACCATATCTTAATAGAAGGAGAATTTTTGTCCGTTTGATCTCATAGGGTTGCTATCCAAATCAAAGAAAAGAAACAAATAAGTTAAACTTGGAGCTCAATGTATACGATAATCAGACCTTGACTTCACAAATGTTTGTACAGAGGTATTTGACATTACATAAAAAAAATTCACAATATATATTTAGAATGTAATCTCTTATCTGTCTTGTGATAGCATTACTACATCAATGAACTTGCGTGAACAAAATCTTTTCGTAAAATAAAACAGTTCTTGAAAGGTTATCAATAAGATAATTGACATACAAGCACTCATATAATACCTTCCAGTTTGAACAAAATTACCCAAAGGGAACAAGACTTTCAGCATAACTATAAATGCCTTTGATGTCGTTTTTCTTAGGAGGCCCCTTGATTTTTGATTCTCTCCAACTCTTTCTTGTGAAATCATAACACAAACAACATAAATCACCTGAGTTCACGACGAATACAATCTCCCCATCGAAGAATGATGCAAATCTAGGCTCTGTAGTGTTCCTTTTCGAGGGAACCCCAATAATATGTCTCTCCCATTCTCTTTTTGGAGCCTTCTCTAAAATCCATAAGTCAAAGTATCTCCTTACCCATTGTCTGTAATCTATGACCCCTAATTTACCCTTCACCTCTATCAACTGGTAATAGTACACAAACTCAATTGCATCCCACAATGCAATATTTTCGATTTTTTCAGATTTAACATCAAATGCAACTATAGATATATAATCTGCCATAGCAAATTGATAGATGACTCCATTAGTGCAAACACTGGGCATACTATACGGAATACAAGGGAAAATGTTCTGAGTGTCTCTCCATGATATGTCTATTCCTAAAGTGAAAACCCAGTACTTTGTGTGCCTTTCTCGAGGATGATATGTTGTCCAGAGAACTTTGTACTTGTTTTCTTCCAGCTCAAAACCTAATGAAAATGTATTCCAGCATTTACCTTCATTAGGGTTGGGCAGAAGTCTTACTTCTTTTGTGCTGGGATTGAAAATTGCAGCAGGTTGCATACATGATGATTCCCAAGCACAAAATAAACTATTAACACAATTCAAACGAGAATATGCAGGGTTGCTGTTGTAAAAATTATTAAATCTCTCAACTTGGAGAACGGAGGCAGAGGCTTTTCCATCTTTCTTTTCCTCCGCAGTGTAATAAACTCCTTCTCCGTGCAAACGAAACTTTGTCGCACCAGAATGACATTTATGTATATCCAAAAAAGCTGATTCGGATAGCATTGAATTACAGAATCTGGAAACACACTTGAAACGCATTAACGAATTAGAAGGAAGCCATGAAAATATTTCAAACATTATTTCTTGAGGAATTGATACAATTTTGCCGGCAGAATTCATAATGTTGAAGGCTGACCGACGGCTAAAGTTTTTTTTTTTTTTTGCGTCGTTTCTGTTAAGACTCTTATTGATGTCCTGTTTGGCTCTCTGTTTCCTAGTAAGACTCTTATTTCTCTTTGTTTTCTTTGTAGTACATTACAACTAGGACTCCCAAAAAATTTAACTTTTTAATTGCAAAAAAATTGAAATTGGTTTTTTTTTAAACCCTAAACACAATATTGAGCAGGGCACGATTTCGTTAGAAATATTTTGGCCCCAATCATTAATTTATCATCAAGATGAATTGAAAATAGTTGATTTATTTTATACTCCCTTTGTTTTAATATGACCCGCCCATTTTTTTTCACTAAACATTCTAGTTTTACCAGTTCCATCTTCAACTGATAAATAGAAAGAATTTCATCGATCCTTTTTGGTTCAAATTGAGAGATGAGAGCCATATTTGAATCATTTTTTCTTGATGTTGTGTCCTCATTCCTTCATTTGGATCACCGATGATGAATTTATTTGGGTAATTTGCTTTGCGTTTCGATTCATTTGGAATAACTTCAGTAATAAATTCTGTAGAGGATATGTCTGTAGTCGACTTGCTTGCCTCAACTGATTACTATTTATGAGTCTCCTCTGAGAGATCATTTTTCTGTTTATGAGTATGTGATTGCAATTGCAACAAAGGGACGGGATCTTGAATCCGTTAGAGTTTTTCCTAAAAACATAATCATCAATCAATATCTCTAACAATAGATTTGAAGGTCATATACCAATCATTATTGGAGATCTTATTGGGCTTCATAAGATGAACTTATCTCATAATCGCTTGGAGGTATTATGCCAGCAGCATCACTGCACTAATTATCTGTACTTGAATTGTTGGATCTCTCATCCAACAAAATCAGCGGAGAAAATCCACAACAACTTGGATCCCTCACATCACTTGCAGTCTTAAATCTCTCACAATCATCTCGTTGGATGCCTCCCCAAAAGAAAACAATTTGATACGTTTGCGAATTGTTTATACCAAGGGAATGATGGACTACGTGGATTTCCACTCTCAAAAGATTGTGGCGGTGATGATAGGGTACCACAAGCAAGAATTCCATTTGGGCTAGATCAAGAAGAAGAAGGAGATTCAGCAACGATAAATTAGCAGTCGGCTCTCATGGGTTACAACTGTAGAAAACTGATTCTCTTTAACGTAGAAAGAATGCTATTCCACTTTAGTTCTTACTTGTCTATCTTAGTTTATTGACAACAGATCTGAGCGACATTTACACCATCCACCACACCATCGAATTTTCGGTGCATAAATAAAACAGAACAAGGGAAAAGAACAAACAAGTAGAATATCTGCATATACTTGTATTGCGATACTAATAAATTGATTGGGTGTTAAAACAATCCAAATGAGAATCAACAGGGATATGGAAGTGGAGTTCATCAAAACTCTCCATCTTCCTTTAGATAAGCAGTGTAATAAATTAATTAGTATGGATATGTGAAAATCATATTCAGAAACCAGAGAATTTGTGGTAACACACTTGAAACGCATTAAGAACTTATCAACTTCGGAATTTATCCATGGAGTGAGGGTAGAATTTCTGAGTTCCTCGATTTTACGTATCCATCATTTTTGAATTCATCTTATACTTCAGGAATGAGCAATTAATTAATGCCATCTGTTTGATATTTGTCTTGCAGACCTGTTATTAAAGACTTTGATTCAAGAGCAGAAAAGTAATTTTTTTCATGGAATTTATGTTGATCTAATATAACCAATTAGTGCTCCACTAAACTACTCTTATTAGTTCAAGTAAATATTCACTGATCCGAAGAAATTAGACAGGATGGGGCAACAATCAAACACCAACACTCATTCTCAGTCGAATGCAGCTTCAGTGACTCCAAATGATGAAAGTAAACTTAAAGTTGCATTGATTCAGAAAGAGACTCACAGAATTTTGATGCAGCTTCACTGCTAGTTAGCTCTCATAAACTTGAGTCGAGAGGAAATTCGGATCTTGTCCTACTTCCAGTCTAACCTACAGCAATGTGTAGCTAATCTGTGATCATTGGTTGGTTATCCACAAGATCCATGATGGTTCACTTGTAGGAGCACAGCACATGATGTGTGTTAGGAAAATGTCATGAAATCAAACCTCGTTCTGACAAAAGACTGGTATATAAGTAAAGGTAAAGAGGTAGATTCATTATCCACCGAGGAGTTCAAAACTTGCATCAACTGGCTCTTAAAAATTTCTTGGTTATTAGAAAGAGCCTGACAGATTTTTTGGTTCTAATCCCTGAATGTGACGTAGAGAATGTTGGTTCAGTTCTTAATTTTCAAATTCTTTACTGTTCTGTTTTAAAGCTACAACAATGCTTCTTCACAGTTCTGTTGGCCTCATGTACTTTTGGTTTTGGAGTCCGTGAAACCAATTTTCTTGCTACATCAGTTAAAGTTCTTACAAGTTAGTTCACCCATGCCATAGTAATTTTAATGGAAATCTGCATTGTAGCTTCAGCAAACAAAAGTTAAGTGCAATCGATAAACGTGAGTGGGATTCTTCACTTCAACGATTTACAATATATTTGGATGAATTCGCGTGAACAAAATCTTATCATAAAATAAAACAATTCCTGAAAGGATATCAAGTGAAAGGAATACAAGCACTCATGATGTGTTCCCGTTTGAACAAAATTACCCTAACGGAACGAGAGTTTCGACATAACTATAAATGCCTCTGATGTAGTTTTCCTTAGGAAGACCCATGATTTTTAATTCCCTCCAACTCTTTCTTGTGATATCATAACAGAAACAAGCACCAGATTTTAAGATGACGACGAATACAATCTCCCCATCATGGGCCATGAAGGATGATACAAATCTAGGCTTTAAAGCATTCCATATTGGGGGAACACCAATGATATGTCTCTCCCATTTTATTTGTGGAGTCTGCTCTAAAATCCATAAGTCAAAGTATCCACTTACCCATTTTCTGTAATCTATGACCTCTAATTTATCATTCACCTCTATCAACTCGTAATAGTACACTTGACTCATCATTCCACAATGCAATAGTTTCAGATTTTTCAGTTTTAACATCAATTGCAGCTATAGCATCACCATAAATAAACTGATAGATAACTCCACTAATGCAAACACTACGCTTAAAATTCAGAATAGGAAAGGAAATGCTTTTAGTCTCTCTCCAAGATTTGTCTATTCCTAAAGTTAAAACCCATTGTCTTTGTTTGTTCCGTTCATGATATGATGTCAAAAAAACTTTGAACTTCTTTTCTTCCAACTCAAATCCTAATGAATAGTTACCAGGAAAAACAGATTCATCTATGTTGGGAAGAAATCTTAATTCTCTTGTACTAGGATTGAAAATTGCAGCAGATCGTGTAGTGAATGGGTCCCAAACGCAAAATAAACAATTAACGCAATTCAATGGACAAATGAAAGGCCAGGGAGGTAGAGGTCAATAAATCTCGCAATTTGCAAAAAGGGAGCAGAGTCTTTTCTTTCTCTTTGCTCAGCAGTGGAAAAAACTGATTCTCTTATGCGCAGTAAGAATTTTGTTCCGCCACGAGAGTCATAGAACGACAAGTATGGATATTCACAAAATTTGATTCCGAGACAAGAGACTTACCAAATTTTGTAGTACACTTGAAACGCAATAAAGATTTGACCGGAAGCCATGAGAATATTTCAAGCATAATTTCATCCGGAATTGATAAATTCATGTTCTTCTGATTTATAATTGGATTTTTTGTTTTATGTTTTATAGGTCTAAACCCCTTCCATGGAGAGTATATTTATCGGTTGATTTGTATGGGGTTTAATGACTTTAGGATTCTCTTTATGCCTCTCCAAAAATAAAAAATATAAAAAGTAGTACACGTTTTCTATTAGAATTAGGAGAAAAGAGGGAAAATTAGTAATATGTCGTTCTAGAAAATAACTTATGATCGGTAATATTTACAGTCCAATGCTGTGTAGAAAAAACAAGAAGCACCAAAAGTTTATGAGAATTTTTTTGGCTGCTTTATTATGGACACAAAAAAAAGAAGCCTAAAACTCATTATAAAAAAGGCGTCCAACTTGACAGATCACTAATGCGTTTCAAGTGCTTAAAAAAAAGCGTCCAACTTGTGTAGAAGAAGATGAATCCATCAATTCCTGAAGAAATAGTCATTCAAATATTCACATGGCTTCCTGTCAAATCACTAATGCGTTTCAAGTGCGTTACTAAATTCTTTAATTCTCTTGTTTCTGAATCATATTTTACGGATACCCACACATCTCACTCTATGATCCGTCAGGGTGGAACAAAATACTTCTTGGGTGGAAGGGGATTTTATTGCACAGCTGATCAGCAAAAGGAAGACGGAAAAACCTCTGCTTCCAACCTTGTTCAAATTCGGAGTTTTGATGAATTCCCCTTCTATATCCCTGTAGGTTCTGATGTCAGTTGTGTTAACGGTTTATTTTGCATTCAGAAACCTGCTGCAATTTTAAACCCCAGTACAGGAGAAGTAAGATATCTCCCCAAACTAAATGATGATCGGTCTCTCCTTTACTATTGGTTAGGTTTTGAGCCAGAAGAAAACAAGTATAAAATTCTTTTGACACAAGATGGTAGCGGATTGTACATAAAACAGTGTGTTTTCACATTAGGCGTAGACAAATCATGGAGAAAGACTCAAAGGATTCCCAGATCTGTTATGTACAAGCCCGGGGTTTGCATCAATGGAGTTATCTATAGGTTTGTTTACCATGGAGAAACACTTGCTATAGATGCATTTGATCTTAAAACAGAAAGTTTCAAACTTATTGTATTGAAGAATTCATCTAAGTGGTGGTATTACGAGTTGATAGAGGTGAAGGGTAAGCTAGCAATCATTAATTGTCCAAAATGGTCATGTGAATATTTCCACTTGCGGGTTTTAGGACAAATTCAGAATGAAGAAGAATGGGAGAGTCATATCATTCACTTTCCTTCAATGTGGAAGCACATACCACCAAAAATCATACCCCATGTCATATTATCATGCACGTTTTGTGATGGACAAATTTTATTCATCCTCAACTTAGAGTCAGGTGCTTTATGCTCGTATTATGATATCGCAAGACAGAGTTGGAGAAATTTAGAAATAAAGGGGCTTCCTACGAACCACTGCATCAGAGGCATTTATAGTTACATAGAAAGACTAGTTATGTAGAAATTAAGTCTCTTTCTATTTTAGAACTTTTTGCAGTTCGTATGTTATTTTTATTGCATCTGGATATTAAGCATCATTTAGTGTCAAATTAGTATCTAAATAAAAGTATATGCCAATACAATTTTATTTACCGAGGATAATTTTATTGTTATGTTTTATTAATGTCAACCCCCAGCCCTCCAAGTTAGACTTGTGGATTTTAAAGCAGAAACATATCATTCATTTTCCTTCAATATGGAACGGCATAATGTCTCATGACCCATGTCATCTTGCAATTTTCAGTTGCATTCTTATTTTCAATTTTCAGTTGCATTCTCGTTTTAAACTTGCAATTTTAGTCCAAATTCTCTCGATTGCACCTCATTAGTAGCAACTTACTGATTATTGCAAACACCTGAAGCATTCACAATTTTTTGCTGCTATCTCTCTAGGTTTAGGACATAGAGCTAACTCTCGATCATCTAAAACATCTCTGTTTCCAGCAGCTGTTTGATGACCAATATTACCTATATAAACATCCATTTAGCTGCACAATTTTACTCAGAAGTGGCAGCAACCAATTGTCATCAAATGCAGTAGCATTACTTTGATCGAGACCCCTACAACCCTTATTTTTTCATTTAATATTTCCCTCGCATCACCTTGATATTTTTCAATATCGCTAGTACCTTTCAAAGCAGCTTTAATGGTATCATCAGACATCAGTTTGTTTGTTATTTAAGATCAAAGGGCAACTTAAGAGGCTTGTTAGTTTCACCCTACTAAAGAGGCTTACGTAGATAGGAAAAATTCATCTAGTGTTTTTTTTGGTCTCTATTGGAATTTGAACTTGAAACCTCATGATTCTTGTTTCTCTTCATTGATCACTAGGCCACATTGTTGAACGTGAGGTACATTTCCGGTGCATATTCAACCTGAAATAGGGAGGCAAATATGTACATACATTATAGGGCTATATATACCAGAACATGAGAAATTATATTTTCTTGTCTAATTTTGTGCCATTTGCATAGGCGAATTCAACGTCAGGGATATCAGTGAGTAATGAACGCAAGCTGAAATTTTCGGAGTTGAAAACGAAAAGGAACCACAGATATATAGTGTTCAAGATTGATAATTCAATGCATCAAGTTGTGGTTGAGAAAGTTGGGAGACATGGTGAGACTCGTGAAGATTTCTCTGTTTATCAATGGACTCTGTTTCTCATTCTCTAAAAGCCAACATACTCTTTACTTGATTATTAAACTAGATTTCTCTTTTGCCCCAATATTAGATAAAGTAATGATACTCTAATTGACATATTCAATCAGACGACATCTTAATTCTATTTTAAATTACTTCTACTACTTTTAAAATAATTTGGATAATTTGTGTGTCCGTTGTTACAGATAAACAGAACAGGCGGTGGCACTTTGCGCACCCACCTGAAAGAAAGTACTCGGCAAAAGGACAAATGAAGAAAAATCAGTTACAAAAAGGGCAAAATTTGCATCCATGGAAGAAGAAGAGACATGCAAGAGTGGAATTTTCCACTGTCCTATTAAATGCACAATTCGAACGCTTGATATTACAAACAAGGGCGGATCTAAGTGGGGGCAGGGGTTCACCCTAATCCCTCGGCCGAAAAATTACATTGTATATATAAGGCCAGATTTGAATATTATGCGCATATAACTTTAAATGAACCCATTCAAGATAATTGAAAGGCTTAGCTCAGTGGCCTTGGGAGTTCATCAAGTAGCTGAGGTCACGTGATCAATCCCATTTGACATTATATTTTGTATGTTTTATGATGCCCTTTTAATCAGAGGCGTATCCAAGATTTTGGCTAGATGGGTGCACGATTACGAAAAAATGTATTTTAAATATAAATTTGATTGATTTGACTTTTAGTTCGTAATATGAACCATTAAAGTTTAAAAATTATAGGTCAAAAATATATAATACTACTAGTTTTAAATTTTAATATACACATTTGATTTAATTATATAAAATTTTTACAATGCTAAATTTTTTAGGAATTCTCAATGTAACACACTTGAAAATTTTGAAAGAATAAAGGAAAAAAACAAATGAAAAATTAGTTGAAACGACAAAAGTGTAACTGATAACCACTTGAAAAAGTGTTACTCAAAGAGACAAGATAGATATAAGATTTAAATTTCTATCTCTCACTTAGAGAAGTGCACCCAATCATCATCGCATTATTATATGATACTTTGAACATGGGTTCACACATCTATATTTAAATATTTTTTTAAAAATATAACACTACTATATATGATCTAGAGAGGGAAGCATGGGTTCACGTGAACCCACAACACCCCCTCTAGATATGCCTCTGCTTTTAATATTCAACGGAATTCTTGGGGGAGTTGATAATCTACAGGCTAATGAGTATCCGAATGTGAATGCAGGCGACTTTGTGTTGAATAACCAGTTTCTGGGTAATGGTCTTGCTGGAGCTAATAATGTTATTGCAAATCATGTTAATGCACCGAATATATATGATGAAGACTTCATATCATATATATATTATTATATATTATATTATATATATTATTAAAAGTGGGAACAAAAAAAATTTGAAGGTTGAAATACCATTTTGCCCCTACACTAAATTAAAATATTATAAATATTTAGTTAATTACATGTTTAAATATTAGTGATAAATGATAATCAATTACAACATTGAGTAAATGGAGAGTTCATGTGTTCAAAGTTACTCTTCCAGATTTTAATGAAGGTTCAATGCATATATTTAATATTCTTAAAGTTGTTCTCTTTTATCTATTTTGGCCCTTTGAAACCTTCAAATATTTAATTAAAACTTTAAGATGACTTTTGGTATTCCTCTATTTTTATCTATATAAATTCATCTTTATTGTTTCATGAAACTCACATCCAAAATTATCCTTTCCATTTTATAGTTAAAATAGTGAAGTCATCAACATCTAAAGTATATATATGATATCTACCTTAGTCTGATTATATATCACTTTACGAAAATAAAGTGATTTTTCTATTTGATTCATGCTTTAGTTTGACACGATGGAGAAGACTTTTGAATTTTGATTGGATATGAGAGAAGGTATAGACAAAAATTTAGAAAATTATGTACCTATTTTGTATTTCTTTTTCCAATTATATAATGTTATGATTAAAGCCTTAAGAAGGATGGGTATATTTTTCATTTGTTCTATTTTTTTTTATATTTCTCTATTACTCTTCTTTAATTTAATTTTTTATAAAAAAAGATTATTATCATAACATTTATTTGAGATTGTTGCATTTAGTACTCATTACACGCATGTTTTCATTGAATTTTAATAGTCCTAACAAATTTATAAAATATTGCATGGGACACTGTGCAATGCACGTATCCAGAAACTAGTATTATTATAAGTGGGAAGCTCCTAACCTCAAAGTTGGATTACCATTTTGCCCTTATCTTACCTCTAAAATAAATCAAATATTAATATTTAATTAATTAAATATTAAGTAATAGTTATTTTTAAATTCATGCATCAAACAAGATCTTAATGCAATCATATATTCATGTACTAAATGCGGGTAATGAAGAGTCTAATAATCTTCAATTTTGATTTGTAAGATAAGTGGGGTAATGAAGAGTATATCAAAGACACTCACACAACATTATTTATATTTCCTTCTTTCATCCAAATTTATGATCATCTTGCATTCTACATTAGGTTAGTCTACATCATTTGTAAAATTTTCATTACTAATTTGTAATTGTAAGAACTCTTATTGTTAATTTATTTGTATTCTTTAAAATTTCATGCATATTCATCTTCTTTTTGCTGAGAAATATGTAAATTATCATAGTTACAAGATGAATATTCTCCAATATAAAGCTGGAAGTGAATTTTTATTTTTCATATCTCCATCTTTTTGAGTTTTTAAATATAACTTTGTAATCGATTACTATATATTTGTATTCTTCAGTTCTTCTATCTTTAGGATATAAATATACTAAAGTTAATCCCCATTCATATTTCTAATTAATTGTTTTGAGGGTAATCATGTTAAACCCCGCAGAATATTTTCACAACTAGACCCGTAAAAGAGTAAGTCTTTGATACACATCTATTGTATGTTTTCTTTATTGTTTGATAATCATTTATCATTTTAAAACAACAGGTTTGTACTTTTTCCTTTTTATATGTAATCTCAAATGTTTAGAAGATTTATGTACTTGGCTATTATAGAGAGGTACGAAAATAAGTTCAAAAGTAAAAAAAAATAATGTTAAGTAAAAAAGATCTAGTTCAAGAAATATAGTGTATCTGTATTTTATTGTATTAGAATTCATATATTATTTTTTATATAGAGATCCTTTAATAAATAGTTCAAGAAATATAATGTATTTGTATTATTCTTAACATAGTCATGGTTTTTTTTTTTATACATATGAAACATTTTGTCTATAGCAAGCCGACTTCTAACAAAATGTAATTCAATCAATATGACAATATTTTTGTCTATATATTTTAATGTGATGTCTTTTACTATGGCGGATGTCATGTCTTTATTTACTTTTCTTTCTTTTTCGTTTGAGCTTGTAATTTTTTCTATAAATTTAATGTTACACCACCTAGACATTTATAATATTTTTCTTTATACGTATCCTTTTTATAGCCAATTTCTTTTTTGATTATTAAAACTTATGTTAGTAATTAAAATATATTAATTCCTCTGATATAATAAGAGATTTTCATGAAGCATTAAAAATATCAAACCTCCAACATCTGACACAAGATTTTCATGCTATATTTGTGAAGAGTTATATTCTTATGTCAAGATTACATATAAAAGGACTTAGCGATGAATTTATGTACGCTCCACTATGATATATTTACTTATATAAATTAACTTTTTTAATGTCAATTAGGGGACAAATGTGCAACACACGTTCCCCTGACTAGTTATACTAAAAGAAGGAGAAGCTCATAAAATAATGTTTGGTGTCTTTGAAGAACATATCTTCATCATACAGTAAAACCTCTATAAATTAATATAGGTGAGACCATGAAATATTATTATTTTATAGATGTATTATTTAACCGACAAATTAATATTTATTAATTTAAAGAGTGTTTTGTGAAAACGTCATTCATGAACTTGAGGTCACAATTAATGATCTCGGTTACCACAAAAATTGACGTCAATAACCTTTTGGATTATCCGGATGAAAGTACTACATGTTCAGAGGTCCATTACTTAGAAGAAATTGTGAATACCATAAGAAAAAAACAATGTTGATGATGAAGTTGAAGATGATACAATACCGTTGCAACTAGTTACGCTTAAGAAAACACTTAACACATCTAAAACTCTTCACAATTTTTATCGCATCTAAAACTCTTCACCATTTTATGGTGCAGTTCGAAAAGACAACACTAGAACTTTGTGATGCAATAAGAAAAGTTAGAGATGAGCTTCAACTATATTCAAATTTTAACAAACACAATAGAATCATATTTCACTTGTCTTAGATATATTTGTACTTTTAGAGAATTATTAATTTATAATATTGATGGGACCATATATTTATATAAGGGTCTTTTGAAAATATATTATCTTATTATTTTATCGAAATTGGTGATTTTTTCCACTGACCCAAGTCGGAACCAGAAGAAAATATTTTCTTAGAGAGATTATTAATTTAGTGAGGTTTTTACTGTACCTAGATTAGAATAAAATTTTATAAGCATTAGGTGTATATTCACTTTTGTTATTCAATAATAATATGTATTAATTATTTTTAAGTTTGAAAGTTATTATATTTAAAAAAAATACTAGTACATATATAATTAAAACACTAAAATATTAAATTAACACGGTGCATTATATATAGAGAAAGATTTAGTAAAAGAATAGATTCCTAGTCCAACTCCAATTCCAATTCATTTCCATGAACAACAAATAATTGAAATTGTAAGTTTCTCCAATATTTGTTCTTTGAATCTCTCCCTCCCTCATACATTACGATTTCATTGTGTAGTGTTGAAAATTGCTCATTCCTATGAAAGTCCTTGTTGTTGTTGGACCTTAATTTATATGCTTTAGATGTCTAATATTATTTTAGCCCTTCTACTAATTGTACTTGGGATGTCGATTAGCCTCTTTGATGGTTGTTAAGAGACTAAACCCCTACTGTTAATCAGAATTCAGATGTGTATAGTGATGA